TGACTCAATGTTAATGGTTATTAGCTCCTCCTCTCAGGGTACCCTAGTATTGGTCCCTGACAGTAGCCCCCGAGCTCTCGGGCAATTCGAGTAGAATCGTCTGGGGGATTTTTCGACTTGCCAGGGGGTGCGCGCGAGTGCACCTGGTGGGTGTAGCCCCCGAGCCTGTGGAGGAGTAGAATACTCCTTCAGAGGTTTTTCCGAAAGGGAGTACTCTGAAGGCCTTGGCCTTCTTTTGTCACCCACGGCATGTCCTGAGGAACGGTGATTCCCTCTTGCCAAGGTCGGACCCTTCACGGGTATGGTCTTGAGATTTGGTGGTTCGTTAGCTGGATAATTTGATTGGGGACCCGACATCCCGTTCATGGGGATCCGGCAATGGTCAGCCCGGCTGAGACTCAATCATGGGCTGAGATGCCCGTGGCGCTCGTGTGTCTGGGTACTGGCCGCTTGCGGGGCCCATCCCTTTCCATCCCTTATTGTAGGGGTGCTTGGAGCGGCTATTGGACCCATTGATAGGCCAACCATCTAACTCCTAGGCCTAGACAGGCCGTAGAGGCGTTTTTTATCCATATTCCTCTTACTCGTAACGAGGCCTGGTCCGCCTGTGGAGGCGAAACGTTCGGCGAGTCTTCCGAAGGAAAGGATAGGGATTGCGTGCGCATATCCCATGGCGTGGCGTTGTGGTAGATCATGGCATGCGTGGAGATCTAGGTGGACGGTTGGTTTCCTCGCATCCGTCGCCCCTATAAAACCAAAGGGTTTGGCCCCAGGGTTTCATACTTTGCCTCCTTGCCTTCGCATCTGCAACCTCCACCGGCAATTGCCTAGGCCTCCCGCATCCGCATCTCAGCCACCGTCGAGCTCGCATCCTCCCACCCCCATCTTCCAATAGATCCGTGGTGCCGCTCTGACATCACCTTCCAGCACTTGGAGGGCCTCGTCAGCCGCGGTCTTCTCTATGCAGCCGAGGAGTGGCTATTGCCCGGCGAGGAAGACATGCCGTCGCCGCCCGACGGCTATGTCGTCTCGTTCGTGCACTTCCATGAGCAGGGGTTTGCTACCCCTGCTCACAGATTCCTTCGAGGGCTGCTGCACTACTACAAGATAGAGCTGCAGCACCTCAATCCCAACGGGATCCAACACATGGTGGCGTTCGTTGCCCTATGTGAGGGATTGCTGGGGATTGGTCCCCACTTTGATCTATGGTGGTACTTCTTCATCGTCACCCTCCAGAAGAAGAGGGAGAAGAAGTAGGAGCTGAACATGCCGATGGGATGCGCCGGCATCCACCTCCGAAACAATAGGGTCGGCGAGTACCCGTCGATGCGTCTGTCGACCTCCAACAAGGGGTGGCATTCGCATTGGTTTTATCTCAAGAATGACGCAGCCGCCCCCCCAGTCAGAGTTCACCGGGCGCCTAATCAACGAGGCCCCGGATTCGTGGAGGAAGTGGGGTGTCCCAGAGAAGGACAAGAAGAAGATCTAGGACCACCTCACCGCCCTCCACATTCTGAAGGAGAGAGGCCTGAAGGGGTCGGGCATCATCGGGGCCTACCACACGAGGAGGGTGGCGCCGCTGATGAGGCATGCGCTCCCGTTGTACGCGATGGCACCCGAGGTGTCATTTGACGGGACGACGCTTGCCGAGGGAGCGCTTTCCCCCTCCGAAGTCGCATAGCGCATCAAGGAGGCAATGGATCCTTCGTGGGATGACGTGGGCGCTCCCCTTGATTTTGTGTACCCGGTGCCTAGGCACCCTCCAATGTGGCCGAAACTCGGCTACATTGTCTTCGTAAGTTTGCTTTCCTCATGCCTCTTCTTCAATTGATCTCCCGACCCCTTGACACTAACATTGAGATGGGGGGACCAGCCGAGGGACCTCGTCCTTACAGATCTCCTGGCTCCGCTACAGAGGGATCCGTCCATGAGGGCGGCGAATCATGCCGAGGCCGAGCCACCCCTCAGACATCGAGCGAGGCGGAGTCAGCCCTCAGACATCGGGTGAGGCGGAGCTAGCCCTCAGACGTCGAGTGAGGCGGAGCCAGCCCTCGGGAGTCAGCCGAGGCAGAGCCAACCCTCGGAGGTCAGGCGAGGCAGGGCCCACGGCCGCAGCGCCCACCGAGGCAGAGCCAACCTCGGGGGTCAGACGAGGCAGGACCCATGGCCTCGGTGGCCGGACGAGGCAGAGCCTGGCAAGCGGCGTAGTCGCGCTCTTGATCTCACGGATGACTCAATGTTGATGGTTATTAGCTCCTCCTCTCAGGGTACTCTAGTATTGGTCCCCGACACGTAGTGGAGAATCAAAGAAAGGAACACGTGGCGCAGATCCACGGACCAGATGCTGGGGTCCTGCGTCCGGTCGACCCGACCTATGCGTCCGATCGCCTCGTGGAGGCATTGCAGTGTGATCCCAACGGCTCTATTTGGTTGGGGGGTTCTATTTAAGCCCCATGGCCGGCTCAAGCTCACACTCTTGGCCATTTGCATTGACATAGCAACCTTGTGAGCTTAGCCAAAGCCCTCCCACTCATCATAAGTTAGGAGGCAATAGTCACAACAATTGGAGATAAAGTGGCCCTCGTGAAGACCTTTGTAATTGTCGCTGACAATACAACACAAAGCTGGTATGCCAACCTACAACCTAGCTAAGTGTATTCTTAGGAACACATCTAAACAAAATTGTATTTAAACTTCATAGGTATCACCTAGCTACATACTTCATCGACATAAGTTCTTTTACTGGCTCCTTCTTCTGGACAGACTCAATACCAGGAACTTAGAAGAAAGCACTTCAGTTTGCCCTCCTATAACAGTGGAACATTTGTTCTTTGACTGCCTTTTAGTGGTTGGTGTTTTTGAGACTAATGGGGGCATTCATCGGACTCATAGTGCATCATTACCAGATCGTCTTGTTCTAGCTAAAGCCTCATTTGGTTCGCCTATTTTCATGGAGCTTGTTATTGTGGCTGCCTGGTGCATTTGGACTATGAGAAATTTATGGCAAGTCTCCCTCTCTTGGGCGTTGGAAGCTTAGTCTTCGGGAGGAGCGCTTTCTCTCTCTCTCTGCTTAGGTGCAAGTCCTTAAAGAAATCTCTTCTTAGGGACTAGCTTTTTTGTTTTTAGTCTTTCTAAAGTTTCTTTTCGCTTTTGTACAGACATATCTATAAAATGAGTTTAACTGTTGGAGTTCCTCTCCTAGTTTTCTCAAAAAAAACCTAGCCACATACTACAAATTGACCTCTTCAGCTACAAGCAGGATAAGAAAGAACCTGTGCAGGACTACCTGCGAAGAAGGTTCATATTGCTGAAATAAAAAACACCAAACATATCTGATGAAGTCATGATCCTAGTAGCAATAAATGGCTCAAGTTTCAAAGCTTGTTTATCAAGGTTATTGCCCACAAACCCGTGACCTCAGTTGTCAAGATCTATTAGGTATGGAAAAATATTGCAGAGAAGATGCTGATTTCAGAGCCATGGACGAGACCTAAATCTATTTAATATAAATTACTATTTCTTTTATAAATCTAGTCAAAATTGATCAGAGATTTATATATTTTTTTGGGCGGAGCGTCCGTTATTTTGTTTAAGAAAGTTAATAATAACCTTGGCATCTTCTTTCAGAGCTTAGTCGATTTCCATCTAGCCAAACTATAGCCCGTCACTACCAGGCTTCAGAGAATTCCCGTCGGCTCTGAAAATTCCTGATGGTTTTTAGGAAGCCAACAGGAATAAAGATAACTCCTATTGGCTTCAAAAAACAAACAGGAAACACATGTAGGATTCTTGTCGGCTCCCACAAACCGCCAGCCTGACGCTTGGACTGAACAGACAGAAATTATGTTCTTGTCGGCTATAGACCAACAGGAGACATCGGTCCCCAGAAATAGTGAAAAAAATAGTGCGTCCTTTTTGTTCGCATGCGTGAGATGGCTTGGCGCGGAGAAAACCCGGGCTATTTTCTAGTGGGCTCATCCATGAATTGGAAGTATATAAAAGAACCCCAAAAACCCTAGGCCCATTTGCCCGCCGCCGCCCGTGACCGCGAAGCGCCAGCCCCTCCCGCTGCATCCAATGCCGCCCCCTTTTGCTTCGGCACGGGCTCTACCACAGTCGACGTCGCCGCCCCTCCCCTGCATCTGCCCCCGCCACGCGCCACAGCCACACCTGCATCCGCCGCCACTGCCCCTCAACTGGATCCGCCGCCATCGCCCCTCATCTGCATCCGTCGTCGCCGCCCTCCCCTCCTATCCATCCACCACCGCCACCCCCTCTGACTACGCCAGACGCCGGCCCCTCCGACTGCACTTGACACCGGCACTGCCTCAGCTCAAGCAGATCCACTCACAACGTCACCTCTCTTCACGCAGCAAGCCGGAGGCCACAAGATGAGAGCAGATCTGCTGCTGATTTAAAGAGGCGCTAGAAGTTTGCTGCCACAGAGGGGAGAAGAAGATCCTGCTACAAGAGGTCAAGGGAAGGACAAGAAGGCAAAGGAAGGAGTTTCCTTAAACCCTAAGAGGTGATTAATACATCCCTTTGCATTTTTCTTCATGGTACCGAAGCATTCATGTGCATTGTCAAATATATGTTTCTGCACCCTGTTATATATGGTTAGGAAACTCTAGCTATATGTCTGCAATATATGTTCATTGGTGTAGGAATGAATCTAATTATGAAATATTATCAGTTGCTAGCAGAAATGGCGCAACACGCAATTAGTGTGAGAACACATGAATTCTGTTCTGGTTGTCCACTGTCTTTTTGCACATTAAAGACAGTCATGCTAAGCTAGCTGATTAGTTTGTCAATATAAATATCTCTATCTCTATCTCTACCCCTATAATACACCACTTCAAATTATCCTACAACCACCAAACAAATCCCACTTCTACAGTCATGACCTAAACTACGTCCACCCCATAAAACGCACACAGAAAAAGATAACATTAAAAACGTGCGCACCAAATTAACTCTCACTCATTCTCTCTCCTTACTCAACCACATCCGACGGCCGATATTCTTTGGATCTCCCACCCCCGATCTCCCCACTCCACCGCTCCACCCCACCCACGCGCGCAGACGCCGGTGCCTTCTCTTGCTTTTTCGTTCCCCCCTTCAACCGTTCGGTCCGGATCCACGCCGCCGCTTCTGCAGTCGTTGGGGTTGGTCGTGCGGCGTACAGTGGCGGCGGTTGGTAGCTCTATAGCTGTACTCGAACGACAGACTTGCTCCCTCCTTCCGTTCCCGTACGCGGCGACGTCGCACGAGAGGCCCGCCGGAGCCGCCGGATCCGTAGTTGCCGGCGCCGGCGTGCAGCGTCCGCAGCTCAACGACGTCGGCGTGGCCCTCCTTCTAGCGCAGGCGGGTGGTGAGGTGGTTGCAGTCAAAGCCGTCACTGGATCTGGGTCTGCGTCGCCGTGCGCCTCCGCGAGGGGGAGGACATGCCGTAACTGGATCTCGTCGGCCGCTGTGAGGACGAAGCCGCCGCCGCCGCCGCGAGATGTGCAGGCGCCACTCGGGTGCGCCATCAGCCATCGCTCGAGATGCCACTAGGCCAGCAGCCGCAGCTCGTGAGGCCACGCGCCCCTGCGCGAGCGTGAAACCGCGAGATGTTGCACAGCGGATGCAACGAGACTGCAGTGCGGGGCGGCTGCAAATGCAGGCCTGCACAGGTGGATACGGGAAGATGGGGCGAATAGTGGGATGCAGTCTGAAGATGCTTCGAGGAGAGTTGTTGCGTGCTACATCAGTGCAGGCAGTGACACTGTATGTGCCAACATCACCCTCGAGCATCCCTCACACTGCCCGCCCTCTGCCCATGCTCCGCGACGACGGCTGAAGGGACGTGGACGTGGAGGGGTTGCTCGCCTCACCGCCGGCCGCGCTAGACCAAACCATCGGCCGCGCCAGGATGCCATGACACGGACGTGGACGTGGAGGGGTTGCCGAGGGATCCGCTGGCCGCGCTAGGCCTTGCCTCGGCCGGCTCCGAGGTGCGCAGAGGATCTGTTCAAGGTTCCCGGCCGACGGGCTGGACATTGAGGGACGACGCGTGCCTTTTCCAGAGGTGAGGCACGTCGCGAAGCAGGAGGGCCTGAGGGGTTGGCCGGAGGTGTTGCACACGGCGGCACGGCGGGAGGCGGATTGGGGGTTGCAGGCCGGCGTCGCTGGAAGTTGCATGGCGCCACAGGACTTGGCCAACTGGGAGGCGTGGGGCGGAGCAGGGAGGGGTCGGGTGTTGGCTGTCCGGAGGCGTGCCGCAATGCCCGAGAATCAATTTGTGCCTTTTGAATTAGAACTGAAGAACTGATGGAGTTCTGCCTTTCAAGTTTTTTCTGGTTAAAAATAAGATTTTTTCTGGTTAAGATTCTCCTTTTTCTTTACAGTGCTAACGGGATTAAGGGCAAATCAAGAAAAAAAATATGGAGGTTGGGGATGGACGGATGGTATGTATCTTCTTCGTGTCTCTTTTTCTGTCTTTTTGGGCAATCCTTGCGGATAGATTTTTAGTTTTTGACGGCTGCCGGATTAGGGTTCAAAATTATGGCATTTTTAGTTTTTGCTTTTTGCCAAGCGATTCATCCTGATACTGTTCAAAATTATGGCAGCCTGAATGCAGGGTAAGTTATGTTTTTAGCGTTTTAATTCCTGAGCACCAAATATTTTCAGACATAGGTAGTTGTCAGATTCTAGGGTTCAGTAGCTTAATTTACTATTTGTCAATTTTGATTTTGTCTATCTATACCAGTAGGTTCAGATAGAATTGAAGAACATCTGCAGTACCATTGTCAATTGTGATCAAATTTATACTTGTCGGATTTTAGAGTTTAGGACTGCTTGTGTTGGATTCCTCGCTATTTTGTCGGATGGTTACAGTGAATCATGGAAATTGATTTCATATATTTTGAGTCATATATTTTATTGTATTGTAATACTTCCTTCATCCCAAATTATAAGACGTTTGACTTTTTTGATCCTAAATTTGACCGCTTGTCTTATTCAAAAAATTTGATCCCAAATTATAAGACGCCTGAACCCTAAACCTCGTTGAACGGGTACGACGCGGCGGCGCACCTGACGGAGGAGACAAAAAAACGCCGACAAGAACGGCCCCATCGCTATCCTCTGCAGCATCAGCATCATCTCCGTCTTCGGCTGGGCGTACATTCTGGCCCTCATCTTCAGCATCCAGGTACTTGCTTGCTGAGGAAACTAACACACGTGCAATGCATTGGTTGAACTATGGAAAAAAAATATTGGTTGTTTTCATGTGCGTCTCCAAGATAAATCCGTTGCATTAGCACGGGCATTGTACTAGTGATATGTAGATTAGACAGTCAAGCCAAGACCATGGAGGAGGAGTGCGTGATTTCGCAAGGCATCGAGAGGACGTTGCCCGCGGAGGAGCCCACTGTCGCCGCTGCACCGCCCGTGCCACCGTTGGGCGACGTGTTCGACGACGACCCTACCAGCTTCGACGACTATGCCATTCTTGGCCTCCCGTCGTCGTCGTACGCCTCGGTTCTTGGCGACGACAACGAGGACGGTGAGGCTTATGATGACCTGAGCGACAGTGACAGCGAGATAGAAGACCATGACAATCAGGTGAGGTTCTGGGACCACGATGCGGCCAGGAGTGAAACCGATCTGGTGGCGGAACCTCTGATGTTCCTGAGCCAAATGACCCGGTTCGCCTCCTTCCAGGGCGCGACCAACTTCATGCACACGTCCGCCGCACAGGCAAGCACCGGCGGTGAGGACAACCACGAAGGCGGGGTGATCATCGTGCACTACTGCCTCACCCTCTTCTCGGGGACCCAGAGCAGTGGACTTGGAGCCGTTCTCGACTTTGGAAAGGACCTTCACCACGTCCGGTACCTTGTCCCCTTCCCCGTCGCTGCCACCGACCCAGTGAGCTCGCTGCGCCTCGTCGGCGCCACACTGGCGGCTGACGTTTACTCGCACCAGTACTACATGCAGCTCCAGGCGCTATGGTCGAGCCTCGTCGCGGTGATGCCAGTGTGCGTCCTGGCACGGGCCACACACTTCGTGGTCACCGTCGACGTGGGTGTGCTCCGGGGCGAGGACCGTACCCCGGAGCGCATGCGTGAGGCGCTTGAGGCGCTGGCACGCGAGAACGACTCGTCACCCATGGCCTATTGTCTGGAGCAGCACCTGCTGGTGCCGGTGTGCTATGACGGTGAGTCAGGTGGTGGGGGCGATCGGCCAGCGAAGCGGATGAAGAGGTTCGCCGTCACAGGGGAGGTGTGCGCCATCTGCCACGAGGCACTGGAGCATGGCCTCGCGGCGTGGCCATGGTGCTCCCACGTCTTCCACGGCAAGTGCCTGGAGCTGCTCCTCGTCACGGTGCAGCATCGCTGTCCTATGTGTCACTACGTAGAAAACGATTTTTAGCAACGGATCGATTTTTTTGTAGGGGCGGCTGGTGATGGAGCCGCCCTTACAGTGGCGTGCTCGGGTGCCCAGACACCAGCCGCCCCTACAAATAGAACAGCAGGGGCGGCTGGTGTTACGAGCCGCCCCTACAAATGGGGTCTGATTTGTAGGGGCGGCTCAATCAACAGCCGCCCCTGGAAATGCTATTTGTAGGGGCGGCTGGTGATTGAGCCGTCCCTAAAAATGGTCCCGTATTTATAGCTCCTATTTGTAGGGGCGGCTCAATCACCAGCCGCCCCTACAAATGGCCCTCATAAAAAACTAAGGCAGCACCTTCTTCCTCCTTGGGTCACTCACTCCAACCCGTGAAAGAAAGGTGGGGAGGCCTTGGGCACCTCCCAAAAATTGCTCTACTAAGGGGGGAAGGTTTTGGTCTCAAATCCTTTGGTGGAGAGGTTGTAGAAGGTAAGAAAATGCTATTCCATACTTTTTTTTTGAAGTTTTAATGGTTGATTAGTGAATAATTAGAGTTTTGTTTTTCTCTCTCTTCTATGGTGCTTGAGCTATTTATGAGCAAATTAGACCCAACTTTTAAATGTACTAGGATAAATTAGGGAGGGGAACAAGACCATACCCTTATTTGGTCCATGTTTCTTGATTTTAGTGAACCATTAGTTAGTTTTATGGATGTTTCATGTGCATGTGATCTAGATCTAGGGTTTGGTTTTTTATTAATTTCGTTTTTGTAAATTTATGTTTGATAAAATTGGACTAGGGTTTGTACGAAAGATATTGGGTAAAGTATAATTATTGCTAATTGTTGTCTTTGAAATTGTTTATTGTAATCAATAAATATGTATTTTAATTATTTATGGATAAATGGTCCATTAATTAATTTTCCTCTACCATGGTGTGTTTGTATGCTTCATGTAATTATATTAGATTTATATTCATATATATCTGAGGTATATACAATTATTCTCAAATAATTATTACTTTGATTAATTTTTATATATATCTGAATAAGTAGTTCTTTAATGTTTGTTTTGTTGTTGTTGTAAAAGATGGAGTACAGAAACTCTTGGATGTATGGTTCGTTAAGGTTCAAGGCAGGTTTCCGTGAAGAGGTGGATAAATTTATTGAAGCCGCAATGAAGCATGCAACGACATTGAAAGAAAATAAGGATACAATTATTTGCCCCTGTAAAGATTGCAAGAACCGTATGGCATGGACAGATGTGACTATCATCAGATCACATTTGATTATACGAGGATTTGTTGAGGACTACACAGTGTGGATTCATCATGGTGAAACGATTATTGTTAACGACGAGGATGAGGAGAAATACGACGATGAAACCATAGAATCCCTGTCCCAATATTCAGCCGAGCTTGATGCACAAATGGATTTCGAGTTTGGCAATGAACAAGGTGGTGATGCTGGTGGTTGGGATGGTAACGACAAAGGTGGTGCCAATAATGATGGTGCAGCACATGTCGGGGTTGAAGATGATTTAGATGACATGATTCGAACCCTTGGACCAGAGATTTTACTAAATAGCCCGAAAGGTCTAGAAAATTTGGAAAGAGTGACAAAAGCATCGAAGGAGACTATGTATGGTGTTGAAAAGGGTTGTCCGACACATTGGACATTGCTACGTTTCATGCTTGAGCTGCTCATCCTGAAGGCTAAGTACGGCTGGTCAGACTGTAGTTTCAATGATCTATTGCATATCCTGTCATGGGTGCTGCCACAACCAAACTCAGTTCCCACCAACACATACCAAACGAAGAAGATCATAAGTCCATTGACAATGGGAGTTGAAAAAATACATGCATGCCCCAACCACTGTATACTTTTTCGTGGTGAAACGTTCAAGTCATTGGATAAATGTCCCCGGTGTGGGGCCAGCCGGTACAAGAACAATGACCTTTACGGTGGGGACGAACCATCCACGGGGAAAAAGAGGAATAAGAAGGGTACAAAAAAGGTGGTACAAGAATCTCAGCCCCCAGAGGACACTCCATTAGGCAACAATGCAAAACAGAGAAGAATTCCTGCCCTAGTAATGTGGTACCTACCAGTGACCGACCGCTTGAGACGTATGTTCCTAAACCCTAAAGAAGCCGCACTCATGACATGGTGGGATGATGAGCGCAAGGTGGATGATGATAAGATTGCACAACCGGCTGATTGTAGTCAGTGGCAAAGGTTTGATGAGAAGCACAAAGAATTCAGCGATGACCCAAGGAATGTACGGTTTGGCCTGAGCACCGATGGAATGAATCCCTTCAATGAGAGGATGAGCAACCACAGCACATGGCCAGTGATCTTGACCATGTACAACATCCCAACATGGTTGTGTCATAAGAGAAAGTACCTTCTCCTCACTATTTTTATTTCTGGCCCTAAACAACCAGGCATTGATATAGACGTGTTCCTCGAGCCCTTGATGCAAGAAATGGAGAGACTATGGAGGCATGGGGAGCAGATGTACGATGCGTTCTGAATGGAGGACTTCATATGTAGAGCAATAATATTTGTTACTACCAATGATTACCCCGCTCTGTTTGTTTTGTCTGGACAGATCAAAGGGAAGACGGGATGCTTGGTTTGCTTGGATGGTACTACATGGATTTACCTGGATGCATCCAAGAAGATAGTTTACCTAAGGAACCGACGCTTCTTAAAGACAAGTCACAAGTACCGCAGCAAATTATTCTTTAGATTTTATGACAACGCCTCGGAGATTGAACCCCCTTCGGAGAGACGTCATAACGGAGAACATGTGTACAGAATGGTGAAAAACTTACGCATCGTCTATGGAAAGAAGAATCCGGATGGGACGAACAGAGATAGAAGCACACCTCCTATCGAAGGCGTACCTTTCAAGAAACAATCGATCTTCTTTCAGTATCTACCTTATTGGCCAGACTTGGAGGTCCCCCATGCCATTGATGCTATGCACGTGCAGAAGAATGTCTTTGAGAGTCTCATTGCTACCTTGATGGACACAAGCGAGTCAAAGGATGGTCTGAAAGCACGGAAAGACATGGTGCAGCTAACATGATGCCACAGCTTCACCCGGTACCTGAGGCTAATGGAAAATACACTCTGCCCGCGGCGTGCTTCAACCTAACACCAGACGAGAAGAGAGCTATATGCACTTTCCTGAGGGGGATCAAAGTCCCGACTGGGTTTTCAGCAAATGTGAAGAAGCTAGTGTCGATGAAGGACTTGTCAATAACACATTGCAAGTCTCACGATTGCCATGTGATGCTGACAGTGTTTCTACCTATTGCAATCAGGGCTATAAAGCCAGAGTTCTTGAAAATGGCCATCACCCGCATGTGCTACTTCTTTTCGAAGATCTCATAGAAGACGATTGGCAAGGAAGAGCTGAGTGACCTACATGAATTTGTGGTGGAGACACAAAACCAACTGGAGATGTGTTTACCTCCTGCTTTTTTTTATATAATGTCACATCTCATGATTCACATGGTTCATCAGATACAGGCGCTTGGCCCTTGCTACTTGCATGAAATGTGGTCCTATGAGCGGTTCATGTTGGTTTTAAGTCGATACGTGCATAATCGAGCATACCTAGAGGGCTCCATGATAGAGGGTTACAGTACTGAAGAAGTCATCGAGTGCTGTCAAGAGTACCTAAAAGTACAGAAAGGGATTGGTAAACCCGATTCTCGTCACAAGGGTAGGCTGGCTAGGAAGGGCACCAGTGGTAGAAAAGTGTTCATCGACCATGATTACAAAGAGGTGAGTCGGGCGCATTATAGTGTCTTGCAGAGTACACAACTGATGCAACCATATATTGATGAACACTTGGCTATCATTATGGCGGAGAGAAATGGCCGTTCGGATGATTGGGTCATGAAACAGCACAAGCAACGACTAACTATATGGTTGAAGGACCAAAACATACCGCCTGAAGAAACCATAGACTCTATTACCATCAGTAGGTTGGCGGAGGGGCCATCGAGACAAGTGACATCTTGGAATACTTATGACATCAATGGGTACACGTACTATACCCACGCAAAGGATAGTAAATATGTGAACCAAAATAGCGGCGTTCGAATATAGGCTCTCGATGGATTAGGGTGAAAGATCCAATATTTTGGCATCATTGAAGAGATATGGGAACTTGACTATGGAAGGGATATAACGGTGGCCCTGTTTCGATGCCGCTGGATCAAACAACACCAACTGAACGAGATCGGATTGAGAGTCCTGGACCTCGAGAATCTAGGCTACCAAGATGACCCTTGGGTGCTCGCTTCACGTGTCGCACAAGTTTTCTATATGTCTGACCCACAAAGTAACCTCCCCCCGAAGAAGAAGAAAAAGCACGTGGTTGCCTCCGGGAAACAACATATTATTGGAGTTGATGGCGTGGACGATGTTGAAGCTTACAATAACTATGATGAGATGCCGTTATTCACAGACTTTCCTAAGAAGATCAGTGTTGTGGAAAAGAACCTCCCCAAAGATATAATGCCATGGGAACGAAAAGGTGTCAAGGAGAAAGTCGTTATAGCGGGCTAGCTAGTTGTTGAACGTGGAGTGTTTGTGTAAGTGTGTGTTTGTAAGGCTTCATTTATGCATGCGTGTGAGACTATATATTTATGTACGTGTGTAAGGCTACATATTTTTGTATGTGTGTGAGACTACATTTTATGCATGTGTGTGAGACTACCCTTTGCAACATCCAGATGACTCTATTTGAACATCCACTCTATTGCAACATCCAGAAGTCATTTAGAGTTCATAATACTAGAGTCAAAGTGTTGTTTTTTCATTTGACCAAATTTGACTTGGTCAAACTTGCTCAAATGAGACACTACATGACCTCAGATGAAAAAACTCTGAATACCAAGTTTGATCATCTCAGCAAGATCTACAATTGTTACATAGCTCATTTTCCCATTTGAGAAAGTTTTATCAAACACTAGTCATAAATTCTTGAATCTCATGTAGACTTTCTGAAACTATGTCACACACTTGTGAAATTTGAACTACATTTTGTTCAAACTTTCTCAAATGAAAAAATAGACTATATAAGTATTGTAGATCTTGATGAGCTGAACAAACTTGGTATTCAAAACTTTTCAATTTTAGATAACCTAGGATTCCGAAAACTAGTTTGTAGGCGTTGAAATTTAAAAGTCACAAATTTGAACCGTCCAAACTTTCTCAAATGGAAAGTTGACCAAAACAACAATTGTAGATATTGATTCGTTTAACAAACTTGGTATTCAAAACTTTTCAATTTGAAGTCATTTAGAGTTCATAATACTAGAGTCAAAGTGTTGTTTTTTCATTTGACCAAATTTGACTTGGTCAAACTTGCTCAAATGAGACACTACATGACCTCAGATGAAAAAACTTTGAATACCAAGTTTGATCATCTCAGCAAGATCTACAATTGTTACATAGCTCATTTTCCCATTTGAGAAAGTTTTATCAAACACTAGTCACAAATTCTTGAATCTCATGTAGACTTTTCGAAACTATGTCACATATTTGTGAAATTTGAACTACATTTTGTTCAAACTTTCTCAAATGAAAAAATGGACTATATAAGTATTGTAGATATTGATGAGATGAACAAACTTGGTATTCAAAACTTTTCAATTTGAGATAAACTAGGGTTCCGAAAACTAGTTTGTAGGTGTTGAAATTTAAAAGTCACAAATTTGAACCGTCCAAACTTTCTCAAATGGAAAGTTGACCAAAACAACAATTGTAGATATTGATTCGTTTAACAAACTTGGTATTCAAAACTTTTCAATTTGAAGTCATTTAGAGTTCATAATACTAGAGTCAAAGTGTTGTTTTTTCATTTGACCAAATGCATTTGTAGGGGCGGCTAGATCAGGAACCGCCCCTACAAATAGGAGGGAGTATAAATACGAGAACCGACGACGGAGTCGGCCTGGCACTGTCTTCTTTCCCTGACGTATTTGTCGAGCTGCCCTTGCGCCTAGGGTTTTTCGCCGCTTGATCCCGTGCCCGCCCGCGCCCTCGCCCACCCGGCGCCCGGCGCTGGCGTCCCAAGACCGTCCCCGGCGCTCGGCGTCCCAGGCCCCAAGCCCCGGCGCCCGCCTCAAGACGCCGACCCCAGCGTCCGCCCGGCCCCTCGGTGCCCTCCCAGCCACGCCAGCCCGACCTCAAGGCGTCCCGCGCCCGCCCCGGCGCCCGCCCCCAAGACGCCCGACACGCACCGGTCCCCGGCGCCCGCCCCACCAGCGCCGACCCGGCGTCCGCGCCCGCCTGCCCCGACTCCCTCCCCCGCGCGCCGACCCCCAGCGTCCTCCCGCGCCCGGCCCCCGGCGCCCGCCCCCGCACGCCGACGACTCATTTTCAGGTATTCATCGTTTTTCTTTTGTCCATATTACTTTGTTGCCTTGCTTTGGTGTAATCACTTTGAGTTTTGGGGGCTTTTGCACACAATTACTAGTTAGTGCCCTGTTCTGATTCTTCTTGTAGCCATATATGCACCATGCTCCCATGAAAAGAAGTTTGTTTATCATGTGTTCATGAATTAAAGAAAAAGTATTTCTTCATCCTTGCTGCTATTTCCATCAAACAGACTGAAATATTTGATAAGACATTTTCATATATCTAGTGTGGATGATAACTTAGAGATTCTCTGCTAGCATATGGCTTCAGGATCATCTAATCTAATAAACTGAAAGTTAGTTTTGAACTATATGCATTTCAAGGCATCCTTCCTGCTTTTGCTACGGAGATCAGTGCCAAATTACTCTGTCATTTCCATCTACCTATTATCCCTCCGTTACAGAAATTTTTGCTGAGCTGATGGGTCATGGGAGGTTGCTCGAGAGGATCGTCAGGCGAGCAAAACAACTAGAACTAGGTACCCCACCAAACATAGAATTTGTCACACCGACCAAACACCTTCATTTCCATGTGTGGTATAAACTCACAAAAATGCTATACGGAATGATTAGTCAGATGGCCTTAAAGCTGATGCACATGTAGACGATAAGGACAGTACAAGTAATATAAACTAGTAAACAGGGTTGCAAATCTGTCAAAAAATGTTGCTCTGATCAGACCATGTTAAGGAAGAACATGGTGCAAACGTTCTTTGATATATGTAGATTTAAAAAAAACACAAAATGTCTGCATGATGAAAGAACCCAAGTTTAGAATTGTATGGTTCCATATCATTTCTACTTTATTATTTTTAATATAAATACGACAAAGTCCTTGCTGGTTCTTTTAAAAAAGGTCACATTATCTCGATATAATATAAGGCAGGACTTCTTTGCCCTGGAACTAAAATTCTAAAGCAAATGGAGGTCTTGTGCGCCGGAATATTCGAATTTGCCACTAAAGCCCAAATCTTCCATCTCTATGGAGAAGAACGGTCCAATACTGTACAGCCAGCTTACCATGAAGGAAACAATTCCAAGCCCATGTAAACTCAGACGACACTCATCTGTGATGTAAACCAGGCATGATACATTTCATAGTTTTCAATTTAAAACATCTCTCAAAAAAAGTCTTACCTTAGTCACAGGAATAATTTTGATGCCAGATAATCCATCTAGTGAGCTATATCAATCATCTGGACTCACAATTTATCATACAAATTCCACTGCCCGTCTGACAAATATATGCTTCAACTCCCAGAGCAGCTAAATAATATAGATGGCACGGCAGGTGCTTAAAAGTCATCATTGAACGAAGGAAAGTAAAGAAGATATTCATGTTAATTACTGTCACCACCCTTTTAACAGAACATGTAAACCACTTGTCGACGCCAACCAACACAACACTGAATGTAAATGTTAAATATTCAGGAAAGGACAATGACAGAGACTCCACACAATCCAATTCCATGTAGCTGAACCTGAATGGAGCATTAACTAAACAACAACTAAACACTGAAATAAGCCTGGAATATTCGACTGAAACACATTCTTGCTAAGTCTCTCTTGGTTCATTTTCATTCTACAATTCTTGCTCTGAAATCAGGGCTTTGATTCGGATGAAGTTTGGCTCCACCCAAGACTCAGACAATACAAAACACACATCCCAAGATGATCAAAGTGAACTGCAAAATAAAGGATTTTAATAGCAGAAGCTCTACAAGAAGCCACCACCAACAGACTTGTGATGGATAATCCATTTCGCAAGGTCTTGCTCTTGAGAGGCACATCAGACATTAGGGAGCCCCGCCAGTGATGAGTGATGACAGCCTACCACGATCTGAAAAGATACCATGCACAAAAATCAAAACCAACATTCCAGTAGCATTTACAGTTTGGTTTACTAAATACTAGTCATACTGCCAAGGGTTTAGGGGCGTTCAAAATCAGATGACTGGGTACACAGCTCGCACCAGGCAACAATGCCTGAAAACCAAGCAAACAGCCCCTACAGAACTGATCTCTATATGGTTGCAAGCATATTTATATTTCATTTTTGTTTTACTAATGCAGTCAACAGAAAAGTAACATCTCAGAAATCAAAAAATTAAGGTCAGTTTCTGATGCCATGTATTCAGTTTGCACTAGCACACAAATATGGCATGTGGCCATCCCTTTGTCTGAAGAAACAACTATTAAATACAGTATGACTTTGTTTGGAAACCAGAATCAACAAATTAAGGAAACATATGGACATAGTAAAAAAAGCCAGGCAGTATGATTTTGACTTGTCATGGATTCATACATTTCGAAGGGTCTTGCTCTTGAGTCGCACGTCAGACATCAGTGAGCCTTGCCAGTGATGACAAGGTACCACGATTTGAAACAATACCATGCATAAAAATCAAAATCAACATTCCAGCTCAGCACTTACAGTTTGGTATGCTATATATAAATACTACCACCAATTACACAAACTTATCTTTTTTGTGGCAGTAGTTTTTTTCCCCCTGTGTGGCCAGTCATGAGAGGCCAGGAGTAGTGTTTTCCCATTTTCTAATTCCTTTCCCTTTCCATCCTCTACCCTTTATCTTAGCTTTCCTTGTGTGGAAATTTTTATTCCTTTTCTAATACTATAATGTGCAGTTCTGCGCATTTGAGGAAAAAATATTTGTAACGGTTTGACCAAATAATCTAACACAGCGGCATTGCTACACATTCTTTTTCTTCTTTTATACAGTTTATTATGACTGTTCTCTATATAAGTGCATGTTCTATGAGTTTAGCACATTTACCTACTACTTCTGATGGCAGTATATTTCTGTTCTCTATATAAGTGCATGTTCTTGCTTATCTACACCTTGTTATTTATAGACTTACACAGTATATTTCTGTTCTTGCTTACTTTTTTTAAATAACAGGTTCCCTACTATTATTGTCTACTACTTCTGATGGCAGTATGACAACTGTTGCTTTTTTTGGAAGCAGAAGCTGCTGTTTTTTACCAAATCTCCCCTCTCCTCTATTTTTGCCATATTTTCTATCCTCTATGTTTGGGAAGTAGCAGCTGCTTGTTTTTACACCTTTTCCTCTCTGTGTTTGTTAAGCAGCTGTTGCTTTTTTTTTACCAAATCTTCCCTCTCCTCTCCCCTCCTTTGTTTTGCCGATGATGAAATTGTCTAAGTCCATACATTATATGGAATATGAACTGATGATCAAGAACTTGTGAGGAACTTGGCATCATTAGCAGCCGCCCCTACATTACCTTCTCCTCTCTTCTCTGTTATGATGCCTTGATGCTCCAAGTTCAAGATCAGATGATGATTGACATGTTTCTGAGGCCTCTACCACTGCTACTTCTCGTTTTTTTTATATTATTGTTTTATAGGACTACTTTGGTTTATATACCTTTTTGATTTCTTATACCTTCTCGCGTACCTAAAGCACACTTTCTTGCATCTTTTAGAACAAAGCGCGAAATAATGTCGCGGACAACAGACCGTGCAGCTCGATGCTCCGAGCATGATGAGCAGCCAACCCTTGAGGAGCAACCACTAGAGGACCAGCTTACTCAGGAATAGTTCGATAACGAGGTAGAAAAGGATTTAGAAGTGATGCTTACTCAGGAGGAGTGTGTCGAGGAGGAAGGCCCCAAAGGAGAGGCTGCTGAAGGCGAAGAAGAAGAGGATGATAAGTCAGAAGAGGGATATGAAAGTCCCGAGGATCCTTTCCCACCTGAAGCAAGAAGGAGGCCAACGGAGGAAGATTTGGACAAGGATTTTGACCCGAACAACGAGGTAGGGAAGAAGCCTTAGCTTGTAAATTTTGCTAAAGCTTTGGCTGTGTTACCTCTGCTAACACTTTGACCTGTCCTATATACAAGTCCCTCCTGAAACTCAGAAAAGACGACGTCGACGTCCGCGACATCTCGCTGGACAAGACGGAGTAGAGGAAAGGAGAGCAGAGGCAACAACCACAGAGACGGATCACGATGCCTCTGCTCCACAAACTCAAGACACAACCATGACTACCAAGCCTAAGAGGAAACGAGGGGATAGAAAAGGAAATCTATATCCAGATAAGGCTTGCTATGTGATAACGGAGGTTGGGCCAGCAGGGGAGATCCTTGAGCCGAAGGAATTAAGAGGACGATTCTGTAATGCGATTGGGGCCCTAGTAAGAGATAAATTGAACCCAGCAATCCCTAACTGGAAAGAGGTACCAGAGAACATAAAGAATGCACTATGGGATAGACAGCTGAAGGTCAATTTTAGATTTCCGGAGGGTAAGCACGAATTGGTAAAAAAAATGCTATCAGGATGATGGGAGAGTCATTTCGACGTTGGAGGTCGGAGCTTAACACGAAGTATATCCAAAAGGGGTTAACTCCCTTCAACGAGTTCGGCAGAATAACTCCTAGTCAATGGGAGGAGCTCGTGGCTCAGAAGACTTCAGCGGAGGCATTGGAGCTTAGTGCTCGTAACACCGAGCTAGCGAAGAGGAACAAACACCACCATCATCTAGGCCCCGGTGGCTACTATGCCAAGGAAGAGCAGTTTAGGAAGATAGATGAAGAGGCCGCAGCTGCTGGGAATATCGATGTGACAAAGTTGAAGGTACGCTCAAGGAACTGGATATATGCGAGGAGTACAGAACCATCCGGCAGTAATCTTAAGTTTGATAAGCCGGAGACCCAAGAGGCGGTATCAAGGATACTGAAATATGCTGAAGACAAAGAGACGGGCTCATTCAATCCTTCCAGAGAGAGGGACGAGCTTAGCCTTGGCTTGGGAAACAAGGAGCACATAGGCCGCACCTGGGGGCTAGGGAAAAGGATGACCTGGAAGCAAGGATTCGAAGAGGACAGGCACATATACAAGAAACATGGCCGAGACCGGGAGACTAGTCTTGAGCTCCAAGTGAAGGCTCTAGTTGCGAAGGCGCTGGAGGAGCAAGGAATGTCTACGGAGCCACGTATATTAGTGATGCCACCAGGAGAAGTGGCATTAGTTACCAGCCCTCCGAAAGTTCCTAGCAGCCAAGGTTCCACTGCAGCCACAACCTCAGTCGATCTCATACGGGAACCTACTAGTTGCACCTTGGTGTTTCTCAGCGGCCGGCAAAACACTGTGATGGAGGTGGCAACG